AGAACCCTTGTGGAATGATTGCTTGTCAGAGGTGTCTCCAGATATAGCTGGTCTTTAGGTTTTGAGTCTCTAATGACTCTGAGGCTATCTCATTTTCATTATATGAGGAAGGCACTCACAACATCTTAGCCCAAATGATACAATCAGCAACACCATAGCATCAAGCACAGCTTAGAAAATGACAATTTGTAGTAGTTATTAATTTATTACCTTTAACTGTGTGAATTAAATCAAAATCGAGAACCAACCCAACGTATGTTTATAGTGAATAAATTCTTCAGTATAGCAGCTTTACCTTTCAGAATGTGGAGTTAGAAGGAGTTGGGGAGGGAGGGACAGATAGATAGGTAGAAGGATCAGGAAAGGTTAGCAGTGAGGCCAGAAGACACAGGAAGATCACGCAAACTCTAAGAAACTATTGAAGGCAAGAAAGAACAAAGACGTGAACAGACCCACCTAACAGCAATAGGGAGGTTAGATACTGTATTTACTTTCCTTTAAAACTAATGATAATCGAGAAAAGGAAAAAGAGAAGAAAAGAAAAATAAAGGAGAAATCCAAATTAGGTCCAGAAAGGAACAAAAAGGGAGAAAAAGAACAATGTTGGACAGCAAGAGAATGAGTGAAAGAAAAGAGAAAAGAAAGAAAGAAAAAGAGAAAAATAAAAATTTGAAAAGAGTAGAAAAAATGAAAATTAAGAATTACAAAGAAGAGAAAAAAAATTTTTTTGCAAATAACAAAAAATAAAAATGAAGGGCCTCATTCAGGGTGTGTCTCTGCTGTCACAATAGACAATGTGTGCAGATATAAGTCAATGAGTCTCAGCAAGCCATTAGCAGACCTGTGAGATTCAGGCAGATTTCTGCCTGCTAGTCCCAAGTTGAACTTCCTGTCCTCCTGTAGGGTTGAACTACTGCAGGTTTCAGCTGCCCTTCCCCTGAAGATAGTCCAGGTTCTGATGGGAGGTGATGATCCCTCCAACTTACCATGTGTGGCTGGTAAGGCTGGTGTGCCTTTATTGCAGAGATTCTCTTCACTTTTCCAGTGGGCTTCAGTTTTCATCGAGGAGCCTGAGAGGAGCTCAGGACAATGGCCTTTATGACCCACTGTGCCTCTGTAGTATGGAACCAGGTAGCAGTAGAGCCAGGAGGCCAGAGGCAGTGGGGGGAACGGGACAACCAGGCCTTGTGCGGCTAAGCTGGTCATGTTGTGGGGAGCACAGGGATGGAGCCCCTGCTCCAAGCTGTGCCAGGTCCTCACCCTGTGCCCTCTGGTGATGGTGGGCAAAGCCCGGGACAAGAGGAGATTAAAGAGTATAAAATTGATAAGCAACAATTTTAGCATGTGAGAAAGGCATTATAGAAAGCAAGCAATGGACCCTGTTACCAGACAAGCAGAGAAGGGCTGCCCCAGTGTAGGATACCAAGAAGCACTGTGTCACTCAAACACAGAAGTCCAGATCAATTTATCTCCACTTATTTGATATATATACATATATATTAATTATATGCCATAAATCCTGCCTTCAAGGATATATAAGCTTTAGTAAAGTGAAGAATAAAGGATGGAGTCTTGTCATCTCTATTAATAAAAAGAATTTAAGGGAAGGAACACAACTACCAAGTGAAGCATCATCGTCACGATCGTCATCATTACTGATAGGTCTCATTTTGTTGCCTAGGTTGGTCTCAAACTCATGGTCTTGAGTGATCCTTTGTGTGATTTTTTATTGTGATATTTTACTATAGTTGTGCCCATGAAGATGAAGACAACTTACTAGTTGTGAGGAAAGAGAATGAAAAAACTTCAGCCCATGAAAAATTTGATGAGGCAGAACCACTCTGCCAACATGCAACACTCTGCTCACTTCTGGACTGAATGTAGAGAAAAAATTTGCTGTCTTATATTTTAGGGCTTGTTTAGTATAGATTCTTTACCTATGGCCTAACAATATCCAGGCAAGAAAACTGGGAAATAGTCTTTCCTTTTTCTTTTTTGGTACCAGGGATCAAACTCGGGTCCTTGAGTTTGCACGTGGCAGGTGGCAAAAGAAGAGCTAAATCCCCGCCCTATCCTTCCTTTTTCATGCTCCCTACATTTCTTTCATTCCCAAATGTAATTTAGAGGTCCAGATCAATTTATCCCCACTTATGTGTGTTCTTCATTGAGCCTAAAACTGCTCCCCTTATTGAGGCTCATGTGATTTACTCTTTCAACTATAACAACATTCTCAACTGCTCTTGCCCCTACAAGTCTGGAATTGTCAACATATTCAGGAGAATAGTCTCGATAAAACAAATGATGTAAAGTTCCTGCTTTAAAATGTTCAATGCATGCACACTATATGCAAAGAGAGGGGAGAAAGAGGGGAGAGGGAGAGAGAGAAACTGAGTCAGAGATATAGAGAGACCAAATGGTTGATGATAAGGGCTTCAAGATCTGATGACAACCAGCTTCCAGCTTGTTCTCAAACCAAGCAAGTCTTCCCATTCTAGGATCAAGTCATATCAAAATATAAGCTGTACCTGAACATTCCTTTCTCTGGAGCGCTAATGTTTCTGTACAATCTCCATCTTTGTACAATCTACCACAATTGGAACTGTGAGCTTTGCTGAGGTTATTTCCTTATCTATTGGTCTTCTTCAACATTTCCTAATTTTATCTATTACAAGTGGCCAAACTTGGCTATTCAAATCCTACCCTCCCTCCAGGAAAATAATAGAAAATACTGCCTCTTTCCAGTGAGTTTTCTAAGCTGGTGTAACATGTTTTAGGAGTTCTGGCATCATTTTGGCTGCTGTGTGATAAAACCCAGCCTGACAAATGATGCGATAAAAGTGCTATTTATTTATTTTGGTACCAGGGATCGAACTTGGGTCCTTGCACTTTCGAGGCAGGCGGAGGAACCACTGAACTAAATCCCTGGCCCAAAAGTGCTATTTATATCCCAATATCCTTCTTCAGTATTTTATAAGAAAGAAACCTTGAATTTTACTTTGGTACACACTGATCCAGAATAAAGACTACCTTGCCCAGAAATTCTTTCATCTAGGGCCAAGTTCCTGGAACTCAGAAACTTGAAGGTTGATCATAGAACCCTGAACATCCTCACACCATTGAAATGAATTAGCCATTCCCAGAGAACCCCAGGGGAAACTGCCATTGCTCTAAGATAGGCTTCTAGTGTAACTTGAAATATAAATGAAAGTGAAGCCCTGCACATGTGGCTGCTCTCCTGCCTGAAATGTCAGTGGACCAGTTTTCCTGATCTGAAAAGGTCCCTTCCTGGGCAGAAATATCTAATAAACCTTCTCCCGACCTAGAAAAAAAGAAAAGAAAAGAAAAGAAAAAGAAACTCAGCTAGGGACAGCCATGTAGTTTAGATCTGGCTAATGTTGTATGACTGAAAGTAACATATACATTTCCCTTATGGGACAGGGTCATGCCCTCCCATTCCCATTCCTGACTTGCTGATAGCAAGAATGTGGAAATGAGGGTGAACCACCTGTGGAACAGGGTAATACTCAAGGATAGTAAACTGGAAAACAGAATAATCTGGATCTTGGGTGTCTTTGTACATCAGGGTCCAATTAACAGGTTAGGTTTTTATAGATAAATTTTTATTGTATTTAAACAATTATAGGTTTTTCTGTATATACATCTAACCTAGATCCTAATATTTGAAGAGAAAGCATTATCCCATATCATCTTACTACAAAGAAAGCCCTGAAGACAATAAAACCCTGGATCATGATGTGCCTTGATATGACAGCCATTGTTCTCTCCTTTTTCCAGAATTAAGTGTGCTCCCAAAAGAATATTCTTAAGATATGGTGGTTCCAAGCAGGTAAAATTGCTGTAGAGGTGAGTGTAAAAAGTTGATTCCATAGGACCGAAGAGAGAAAAGTTCTCAGATATGGAAGGAATGAATACAATATTTGTTCCCTACCTGCCTTGCACCTGGAACCCTGTTGAGTCCACAATGTTAGAGGAGAAATAGATCTGAGTGACAAAATAACCCAGAATCAAGGAGAGAAGATAAAACCTATTAGCTAGCCAGGTGGGATTATTAGACTTTAGAACTTAAAAACCCCAGCCAACTTTAGGGACTGAAATAGGCTACAAATGTTTTATAGTTCAAATTTATGAACATTCAAGATAAATCCAATTGAATTTTAGTTTCACAACACATTCATGTTGTAAGACCGCTGTCCTTACCAAACACTCCGAGGAGCTGACTATAGTGAAGCACACCCAGGGATCCCAGCGGTGCCTCCAGAATGTAAGGCCAAGGGCCTTACCAAATGCTCCAAGGAGCTGAAGTGGAGTACACCCGGGGATCCCATTGGTGCCTCCAGAATGTAAGACCGAGGGCCTTACCAAATGCTCCAAGGAGCTGAGTGGAGCACAGCCGGGGATCCCAGTGGTGCCTCCAGAATGTAAGACCAAAGGCCTTACCAAATGCTCCAAGGAGCTGAAGTGGAGCACACCCAGGGATCCCAGTGGTGCCTCCAGAATGTAAGACCAAAGGCCTTACCAAATGCTCCAAGGAGCTGACTGCAGCGAAGAACACCCGGGAAGGAACACACTGGACAAGTTGGAAAGTGAAACAGACCTTAGTCTGGCCAGACGGCACTCCCAAAGCAAAGTAGCTTAGAGAGGCCATCAGCCCAGAGTCCGAGGCTCTTTTTATAGGGGGTTGTAGGGAAGTTAACAGGCGAAATTTACAGAAGAGGGAACAAAGGTTAGTGGTCTTACATTTGCATGTTAATTAGCCTTACATGTACTGATTGTCAGCAGATGCTTTGTAGATTGTTCTATAGATAGTGGTGTCCGAAACAAAGAGTTGGATAATTATGGCTGATATGGATCTTATCTAGTGTCCTGGAACTAAGAAGCATCTTTATCTATTTACTCACATTCAATCACAGTTGGGGCTAGCGGAGTTTTATGATTACAGAGTTATGCAGTCCTACAATGTTTTATATTTTTTCCCTTCATTTCAGCATAAATTAGTAAAAATGACATCAGGCAAAGCATTGATTTCTAGTTTAATGAGCACCGATGAGCAAATGTCAAGTAATTCTACATAATTTTGGGGGAAAATCATTTCACAATTAAATCATCATTAGACCTAGTTTTCCTGCCCATAGACCAGCTATGGTATGTTGAGACAGAACTCCGACTTTCACCTCTGGCCACAGCTAAAACCTCAGTGGTGATGCTTTCATGCCTCAGAGCAGGATTACACCAGTTGAAAACACACTGGGGAGGAACAAAATCTTCATCTACATAAATTCCTCATTGTTCTAGGATTATCACTTGCCCTCTGAATCATGTTACTTCCTGATGTAGGGAATACAGAGGTGTGGCAAACTTGGAATCTTTCCTCTTCGGTGCCCAGAGTAGCACTGATCAGACCCAAAGCTCAGCTTTTTCTATCTCATTTCTCCTGGGGAGGAAGAAAATCTTCATCTACATAAATTCCTCATTGTTCAGGATTATCACCTGCTCTCTGAATCATGTGTTACTCCCTGATGTAGGGAATATAAAGGTGTGGCAAGCTTGGAGTCTTTCCTCTTTGCTGCCCAGAGCAGCACTGATCAGACCTGAAGCTCAGCTTTTTCTGTCTCATTTCTGTCTATATTAATTTTATTTGTGCTGTCGTGGCTCAGAGACTACGACTCACTACAGGAGATCGACTAACATCCCCTTTCCCTGTTCCCTACATTTGACATTTTTTTTTTTAAAACACATTTTAAATAGATTCCTCTTGGTTAGATGCCCTCTTACAACCATGTTTTCTTGCTAAGTATTAAAGAACTTTTGCCACTTATATATATTTCTAATAAGCAGCCACAGTATCAAACATCTGAACTATTTATTTTACTTTAAAATTCGATATATACATACAGCCTTCTTGGACAATAACTGTACCATTTAAATATGTATAATACTTAAGCTCCAAAGCCTATAATTTATATACATAGCTCATTTTATTCTTCCTTTAAATCTTTTACATTCAGTAACTTAAATATTATATTATCATGAAGAAACTTGAATTTCAGAAATGTCTTTTTGTTCTAAAGTAGTCATTAATTTTTACATCTTTCAGATGGTGAACATTTATTTCTTTAGCTCTATTACAGGAGTATGCTGCTTTGCCCCCGCCCGCCCCCCGCCAGTCAACAAGTGAACTACATCTCATGAAAAATATGAATTCCTTCCTGTAGAGGTGTTAAGGCTCTGTCACAACTGTTCTTTTTTTTTTTGGTCACAAGTGTTCTTAACTTGGGTGTGTGGATGAACTTCCTTGAAACCAGCAAATATAAATGCATATTTTCCTGGGGAATGATTCAAACTCTCATCATATTCTCAATTATGATTCAGATACCCAAACAACTACAGGAGATATTCTAAAAAATACAAATGACTGCATTGGAAATGACATTATATTAAGCATTTGCTACAAGATGTGCTGATTAATTGGAAAACTGAGACAAGGGTACTTTCTTGTCAAGAAGGGATTTCAGCACTCCTGGTTATGTTACACAGGCAAAGGTTTTATATATTTAGCAGAACCACTGAATTAGAAAGCCAGGAAGCCTGGGATTTAGTATCAGTTTTATTTGTAACTAACCATGTACAAATCACTTATCTATAAAATAATATTTAACATCTATTCCCTAATTCACAAATATATCACAAAACCAAAATCCTCCCAAGAAAAATTCACTGCAAACCAACATAATATTTAGCCTAGGCTTTAACTCAAACATTGAGAATGACAAATTGAAGGATTTGTCTTTTTTACATTAGTTACATACCTTAATTGTGCAGATAAATAACCTGGTTGAGATAAACATTGTTACGGTTAAACCTTACAGAATATAAGTTAACAATGGAAGTTAATGAAGAAAAAGTTGGTCCATATGTAACACCTTTGAGAAATACCTGTTTATATTAAAAGCAGTGCTTATAATATCCCTGGTAGCAGATCGAACAAAAACCAACCTCACGCCACAGTAGCATGTCTACTCTTTTGAAGGAATACGTAGTGCTAGGGCAGGCACCTTATTTGTCTAGAAATAATGTAGGCTCTTCAAGTGGCCAATAAAAATTATGAAGAAAACATTATTTGTTGCAATTTTTTTATTATCTTTTTTTCTTTCCTCTTTTTCATTCAAAAATTCACTTCACCATCTGGACCAGATTCCTCTATCCTCTGCTAGAGTATAAGGAATATTAGCATTCTGTCACTAAAGAATAAAAAGGAATTAGCATGTTACTGAACAAAGATTCACGAAGATAGTTCTATGTAGGTATAGAAAACTTTATACACCATAAACATCTGTATATGTATATGTACACTGTTTACCAGGTACATGCATTATGACAACCATATATATTAATAAACCTTTGAAAGGGAAGCACCTATATTATTACCTTGTATTTAACTGTCAGCTTTGTATAATTTAGTCTCTATTTCAGGACTTTCCCTTACATATGGAGAAAGAAACAAAGACTGGAATATATTTCATAGACAAACACAAAACAGATACAAACACTGCTTAGGGTAATATTTTTGAGGAAACGTATTTTCACATCGTTCCCAAATGCCATTATCCACTTATGACCTTTAATTGTCAACTTTTTATAGAAAAATACCTGTGAGCTGATAATCAAAAACATTTATAGTAACTTATAAAACTGACAATGTTTCAATGTTACACGACAGTTTCTATACACAGCTTAAAGTTTTAAAGTTCTCTGAGGGCACTTCATCTTAGAGTTGGTAGCCACTGTAACTAATAATCTCAATAAAATATAGTTTTTAGCTTATATTTCCAAAAAACAACTTCACTAAAACAGTAAAGAATAAATCACTTCCTGCTAAAGAATCTAAGATGAACACTAAGCCTATATACCCAAAATACTTTAGAGGAGCAAGTAAACTTTAAGACAAGGCATGACCAGTGGATAAAGATTTTTATTACCTAATTACAGTGGACCCTTGAGTTATGACAGGCCTGATATATGAACAACTTGAATTATGACCAGAATTTTAGTTTTAACTTACAACCAAAGTCTTGAGTTAAGACCTGAATGCTGGCTGCTTATGATTCCAGATGTTCTCAGATATAGGTTTAACCCTTAAAGAGTTCTGGAAGGAACATTACAACATCCTTTCTTGAGTGGGGTTGAGAAATCCTGGGCCAATGTCTAAGGACATTGAGATCTGCCTGTATACAGACTTTGAAGGCTGTGTAGAGGAGCCTGATCCTTTACTTGATCAACTTGAGTTACAACCAGCCCTTGAGAATGAATTGAGTTTGTAAGTCAAGGGTCTACTGTATATGTGTAGTGAAAAAAAGGGTTGTTCGTCTGAGTCAATGAAGGATGTATCAGGTACAGATCAATATGAACTTATACAAAGCAAGTTCATTTGGTTTTTAGTTTAGAAAGGTGCTTAAAATTGGTGACACTATTAGAATGGATTTTTTTCAAAACAGAAAAACTGATTACATTTAGCAAATACATATTTTATATGCCAAAAACTGAAATTCCTTTAAAACAATGGAATCCTGATTTTTAAAAAATTGATGTGACCTTGTAAGGCCAGTCATACATTATCAAAATAAAGTCACTATTAAGTAATCTTAATACATGTATCCAAATTTTTGTAGAAATAAAAGCAAACTGAATTTTAACAAACTATATTTAACTTAGAATACTAAAAACCAGGAATTTTGTAAATCTATTTTCATTATTCTGAAGGAAAATATACACCTTCATAATCCTATCAACAATTCCCAGTTTATTATCGCACAAATTTAAGTCAAATTCTCCATGGCACTAAACAGAATTTAAAAATTAACAGACTACATTAGGACAATCAAAACATAAACATGCTAACTAATCAAAAAGAAAAAACCCACCAAGCATCCTAATCAATTACGTAGTTCATTTTTTCCATATTTTTAGACTTTTAGCATAGTAAACTATTAAACGGGTTGATGTTAGAGACCACTTAAACTTTGTACATTATATTAGTATTTCAAAATATTACCCTTTTTTAAACAAAATCTACACTCCTAATCAACTGGTCTTTTTTCCCCAGGAAAAAGAATATCTTTTAAAGACACATTCCATACAGCAGTAGAAACATCATAGTATTTCAAAATCTTTACAAAGAACCTTGCTGTTGATCAGGCACATTACGCTGAGGTGCTACCTGTACCCAGACTTCATCATCAGAAAAAGAACTGGAACTTCCTGACTCAGAGTCCAGCTCACTGAATCCATCTAAGTCCCATTCAGTACTAGACTCACTTCGTGCATCATCTTCTTCAGTGATGAAACTCTGCCCAGGCTCAAGACAGGAAGGATAAACTCGAGCACAGAGGCAAATGAAGCCAGAGTCAAACTGCAAAAGGCCTAACATGGTACCTATATTAATCCACTGGTCTTCCCTAGTATCATATTCATACACAGTCACCCGGTTCTTCTTCCATTGTGGGGTGGTAGAAGTAATAAGCAGTAACTTTTGGTCATGATTGACAATCTGGTAGTTGTGCGTCTCTGAGTCTAAAGGAATATTACTAATCCGTCTCCATTCTCCCCTAGCTGGGTTGTAGACCTTCATGACTGGGATGTCACAAATACAATAGATCTCATCATTGAAGACACAGGCTTCCTGAAATTCACTTCGCTTAAGAGATGCACAGTTCAGCCACATATTATGACTAGGATCATAGCAGAGCATGCGCTTACTGTTGACAGCATAAAGATAGTTCTGAACCACTATTAGTTCAAAGGAATAAAAGGAATGAGGTACAGGAGCCACCAGAGCCCACTGGTTCCTCTGAACACTGTAGCATTCCACTTCCTTCAACTTAACTCCAGTAATAGGGTCTCGACCACCCAAAATGTAAATATAGCCATTGAGATATGCCACATCCATGCCCTCACGACACAGCAAACGGTCAGCCAGTTGCTGCCAGCTATTTTGGGCTGGTTTATACAACCACAGGTCTTTCCTGGGCTGGGCAGCTAAATAGATGTCATGGTCTGGGGAGACACAAACAGCTGAGGAGGTGATAGTCTTAGTGTGAGCCAAAGTGGTCAAAGGTGAAGGCATTGTATAAATGTCCCCTGAGTATGGGTCATAGCAGAGAAAAGGATCTCTGGGATGCCCAAAGAAAATCACCATCTCCTTGGCGCACATACCTAATCTCTGAGGTGGATTTTCAGCCACAGATACAATAGAGCTGCTGCTGCTGCTGCTGTTGTTTGGCTTTGGCACTAGGGACTTGTACAACATGTCACCATAGCGAATCTGCAGGGCTCCTTCAATAACGTCCAGACAGTACTTCTTCACAATGGGCTTGGTCAGCAGCCCTTCCAGGTAGTCCCGATCTTTTTCAGTGAAGTGTGCCCAGCGAACACACCTGAAGACTTCCACAGCGCTGGGCCCTCGATCTTTGGGAGAAGCCTCCAGCCACTGCACAGCCACATGGCACACGGTCCTCTCACTCTCTATGTCCAAACTGTCCAGCCGCAGGATGGCCAGCAGCTGGACCAGGGTCAGATCTGCTAGAGTCTCCTCACGCACGGAACCCATCCTGCTCAACTGCTTGAAGTTGTGAGCTATAAACGACTGGGCCTGAGATCGCAGCTTGTGATGGTCAAAGGCATCAGCAAACTTGAGGATGGCAGTGCAGTTGGCCAGGTCCAGGCGGCGAGCCAAGAAAGAAGCACAGGCTTCGCGTACATACTCGAGCTGAAGCATGTCTGAGGCCGCATACAGCCGCTGCACGTTGGCCTCGCTCAGGGACACGCGGCCCGTGTAGCAGTAGTCCACCAACACCTCGAAGGACTCGGCATCCACGTCATGCATGGTCACGCTCGCTTGCTGGCTCTCGTACATGCCCCCTGTGAACATGCTCTTGAAGTAGGGGCACGCGGCGGCCAGCACGTTGCGGTTGCAGGAAAAGAGGCGACCAGTGCCGGGCCCGCTGCCGGGCGTCACCACCTCAATGGTCACATCGCACAGCAGTCGCGCGTCGTAGAAGGACTTGAGCTGTGCCAGCAGGGCTGCGGAATGGGCTGTGTCCTTTAACTCCTCTGGGCCCGTGAAAAAAGCTGACACGGAGGGCTTGGAAATCCTCTTGGGCCGTCTCCCACCGCGGGGACTGGCGAGGCGGCGAGGACGCGGGGTTTCTTCCCTAGACTGCATGATGGAGATGGCGGCGGGACGCCGAGGGCTGAACGGCTGTGGGCGCCCGCTCGCTCCTCCTACCGTTCCTCCGCGACTCGGAGACCGCGGTGACCACAACGGACTGCGGCACGGGCCGCACTTCCTCAACTCACACCTACGCCGTGATGCGGTATCCCTTTATAGTATCGAGACTACCTGACTCACCGAGACTACCTGACTCACCGTTTCCGTCCCGCGCCTTTTCTCCGCCTTACCTCTAACAGCACCTCTGCCTGCTGCCTCTAAATCCGCCACTGCCGCGCTGGCGACTCTGGCTGGCGCCCAAGGGAACTACCACACCCAGGTTGCCCTTCGCGCCTCAAGGCATGCTGGAGCCATTCAGGCTCGCGGACGGAGTCTGAGGGATAAGAAACCATTTTGCATTTTGGGAGTTGTAGTTTGTGCAATATCGCGAGGTTTCTTGAGGTTGACTGGATAACGGCATTAACGTAGATTTCCAGGTGAAGATCATTGACTTTGAAGCCCAAATTGTGTAGGTTCAGTCTGAAAACTTCTTTCGTAAAACGGAATAAAAAATATTTCATTAGTTTGTGTGAACATTAAACAATATAAATTACACAGAGGGCCGGGGATTTAGCTCAGGGGCACCGCGCCTGCCTTGCAAGCTCAAGGTCCAGAGTTCAATCCTCAGTACAGAGGATTCTTTTAAAAAATTAGAATAGTTAATAAAGCTGTAGACCACACCGAGACTGTAAAGTCAATGATTATTTCTTTTTCCTTCTGAGTTTATGAAGAATGAAGCGTCCACGAATTTCAAACTCTAAGCCTTAATGATAGTGAAAGTTTGTAAATTGCTGCAAAGAACGCAAATTTTATGTATTTTTTTGTGCAAATTTTAATTTTTCTCCATTTCAAACGTTTTAAAGGGCATTCTCAGTAATTTCAATTTGTTTTGTTTTGTTTTTTGAGACAGAGTCGCTTTGTAGTTCAGGCTGGCCTTGATCTCACTCTGTAGATAAACTGTTCTCAAACTCTCAGTGATCCTCTTGCCTAAGCCTCCCGAGTGCTGGGATTACAGGCGTGTAGCACCACACACAGCAATATTTTCAATATTAATCGAGACCTATAGGCCTATCAGGAAGTCTTAGATAACTAAGTTGAGGTTCTAGAGAAGAGCATTTATAGATATTTCAAATACACAGATCAGGTATATAAAAATAGGTGGTTTGGTTCCCTCACCATATAAAAAATGTATCTCTAGGGAGCAAGAGTTATTTTCATTAAGGCCTTATTATGAGTGTTTTCAACTTGTCTAATAAAGGTCCTTACATTGCCACATCAATTAAAGATTCGATATTTGCCTTTATTAAGGAGTTTTAGTAAGAATTTCAAGTAAAAATAATTCAGCAGACCTTGTACTATACCACGAAGAAAGAACAAAATTCCCAGAGTTAAGCAGTCATATATGCCTTGATATTCCTTGAATTAATATAGTACAATCTATGCTTTACAAAAGTGTTTTATATATGTATTGATCAATATTATTGCTAAATTATCATAATCAAGTAGATATTATTTAGTAAACTTTTGTTTAAAAACCAATGACTGGTCTTGGTGCTAGTATGCTATGAGTTACAAATACCTAATGAGAAAAATCTTCATATTACATGCATAGTTGAATAACACATAGCAAAAGAATAATTTCCTAATTGTTTTTCTCTTCTTTCTTTTCAGCTGAAGAGGGTATAGAGCAAATACTCCATTGTAGAGACATTAACCTAAATGGGGCTCTGGATTCCATTATCCCTTTGTACATAAAAAGAGATGTTGCTGACTATCCCTGAAATATACCAGAATGTAAGAGAATTAAGTCAATCATTAGTAACACTGATTGTTCTCTTACCAACCTGGGGCAAAGTACTTTTTAAAAATACTGGCAAAATAGGCTGTGCATGGTGGCACTTGCCTGTAATCCCAGCATTTGGAAGACTGAGGCAGGAGGATTGCTGTCAATTAAACAGCAGTCTGAAGTACATAGTGAGACCCTGTATCAAAAAACAGAAACAACAACAACAAAAAAAGGTAAGATAAATATGCAATTGACATTTATCATTAAAAATTTAATTATACATTAAATATATTCATTATTTTGGATCTATAACCACCATCAATTTTCAGAACTGTTTTCATCATGAAATACTGAAATTCTGTACTCACTAAACACTGACACCCTGTTCTCAAAACTCTGCCAACATCATTCTGTGATAAGGGAAAAGTAACACCCAACTTGGTAGATGTCAGATGTGCTGAGTTCATGTCTCTCGAATATCAAAGAATGAATTTTGAGGACAAAGGAAAGGTTTATTAAGAGAAAGCTCCTGAGAGACAGGAGGGGACCCAGAAATGGGTTGCCACTGAGGCTATTTCTCCAAGAATGTTTTATAAAGTAAAACCATAAGGTGGATACTACATGGATCAAACTACAGTGCAACCTATAGTACAAGTGTAGTTGCTCAGCTAATACTGATCCAATAGGGAAGTGAGGCATGCAGCAAGGGTATGTGGCTAGTATCATTAACTGTAGCTTATTTGTAACTTCTAGCATTGAAAGAACGAAGGCATTTTTGGGAAAGGGACAGAAAGGGATGGGAGGATGGTCTAAATGTTCTGGTTACTGACCTACATGTCTGATGCCTGGACATGTCTGGACTTACTGTACGGGGTATTGCTAATTATAGTATAATCTTAAATTGCTGCTTATCTCTTAGGAAGGCATCCAGGCCTGGCTACTGTGTCTCCATCTTGAGGCCTGGCCTTCTTCAAATGTGCCTCCAGCCACAATTTTGTGTTTTCATCTTCTGCAGTACGCTCTTGAGGGCCCATCCCCGTCTGCCTATTAATTTTTTTCTAACTAGGTTGTCTATGTTGTCTGTCTGAATTTGTTTACTCTGGGTGTCAGGTAAAAAGGGCCGAAGACCAAGACCAGACCAGGCCACAACAAGGCTTTATTAGGGGAATAGATCTGCCGGGCTGTCTCTGAACAAAGGAGAGACAAAAGTAATATGGCTGGGGCAGGGAGAGTCTTTTATAGAGACTGGGGTGGGGCTTGTAGGGGCTGAGGCGGGGTTGAGTGAGGTAGTGACTAGGGAATGGAGGAGCCGGTGATGTCACTAGGTGGTAGGAGGTGAGCGAGTATTAGGTTACTCTCTAGGTGGGAACAGGGGCATGCTGGGAAGAAGGGTTTGTTCTTTGGTGGGAGCAACCATCTTGGCATGATGTCACACAGGGGAGGGGGCAAGGCACCATAGGAAGAGGGCAGCTACTATACATAATAGCTGCTGAGGTGGTGGGAGACCTATCACTGGGTGCCTTATATAAGTTCAGTAATTGATTTTTTAATTTCCTCATAACTGCCCTGTTATGGGCTTACATTACTTTTGGCAAGACCCAAAATATTTATTAGACATGATTTTCTGTGATCTGGAAATATTTGTATCTGGGATGATTCACATAGTAACCAGAAGCCACTTGAGTACTTGAAAGGTGGCTAGCTAGCACAATTCACAAACTGAATTTAAAATTTTAGGAAGATGGCATTGATACCAATATGATTCAAAGGAGAAAGAAAAGTTTTCAAGAATGGATTTTGGAACAACTGGGTCAGAATGTAAGACAAAAATTAACATTAACCACTTCCTTGGATTATGATCAAAAATTAATTTTCAGTAGATCATAGTACTAAATGGAAAAGCAAAACCTGTAAAGCTTCCTGAAAACACACACACACACACACACACACACACACACACACACACACACGACTATCTCTGTGGCTTTGGGGTTGTGTTTTCTTACCACAATAAAATCTGATTTTAAAAAAGACAAAATGAACTTCAACAAAATTCTAAACTTCTGCTAATCAAAAAGAAGTGAAAACAAGGATAAGCTACAGTCTGGGAAAAATATGGGTAATATATATTCCTAATGGCCAATAAACCTATGAAAAATGGTTCATGTCATTCACCATTTGGTAAATGCTAATCACCTGAAAGAATACCACATACCCACTAGAATGGTTAAACTTAAAAAAATAAATATTGGTTAAGACATGGTGCCACCGGAACTCTCATATATTAATAATAGTAATATAAATTTATATATCTACATTAGAAAATTCTTGTATAGTTTAAACATCTAGTAATTTTAATCCTAAATTGTCAGGATCAGGAGGTGTCTTGCCCGACTCCTGCACTTCATGACTTCCTTCCCTTTGTGCCCCGATTTACCCTGCCAAAATTGCTGGGAGTGCAAGGAAATGTTCCTTGTATTCTATTTATTGTAGTCCTAGTTGACATGGTCCTAGGAACAGCAAGCTCACATGTCCCTGTTCCCACCAGCCTTAGCAGTCAGCTAGTCTCAGAATGTATTAGAACAACAAATTATCAAGGACACCCTGCCCCATCTCCTTGTTTGTACTTTCTCTCCTTATGCCTTAAATAAAGTGACACGCAGGCTGCAGCGGGTCCTCTCCACTCACCAGGCTGGGAGGCCCCACCTGGTGCCACTTTAATTCTCTTTTGTTTTCTGGATTTTCCATTGCCCTACTCAGACCCCAGACCCTTGCCAAGCAGGCGGTAGCATTAGGTATTTGTGTCAGGCAAATGGAAACATTTGTCCACAAAAGACTTGTATAAGAATTTTCACAATAGCTTTATCCATAGTAGCCAAAAACTGGAACTAATCTAACTATATATTAATAGAATGAAAAAAGTATTGTATATTCATAGTGAATATAACACTATTCTGAAAAAAGAAACCACCTTTAAAGTATGCAATGGTGTAGGCAATTCTTGGCAATTTTATATTGAGTAAAAGAAGCCAGATAAAGTCCATACTATATGGCCACTTATGTGAAATTCCAGAACCATGAAAATAAGCTTTAATGAGTAAAAATCATAACAACTACTGCCCCTTTTGCGTGACAGGCAGAAGGTTGGCAGATTGCTAGATTTACTGGAAAGGAACATGAGGAAACTTTGAAGGTGAGGTAAGTGTTTTCTTCTTGTTTGGGCAGATGGCTACATGGCTAAATGCCATTGCCAAACTCAATGAACTGTACTCTAGAGATCTGTACATCTTATGTACTGGATATTTTCCTCTTAGGAAAAGCCCTTTTATAATGGCTGGCACTAAACAAGGTTGCTTTTAAAATAGAAAATTATCTTGAATATGATTCCATCATAAAGGAAGACTTTTCTAGAAGTATATAGGTGAACACTGTTCTAGTTCATACAAATTACTCAATAGACATGGTGCTGTATGTACATAGGATTTGAGTGTTTGCATTCTTTTATCCCTGCCACTTTATTACTAGCAGCTCATTTTTTTCCTCAAGTTTTCTTATAATATGCATAATCCAGTATAATGGAGTCTTCTTGGAAAGAAGATAAAAGACCTATTTTTGCCTAGTCATTTAGTCTTAGTACTCAAAAGCCATGGATTTAGTTCTTCAGGAATCTTTAACTTCATCTCTGTTCATGAATATTTTCAACAATGTGATCTACTGAGGTGTTTTATTGGTACTCCACCTTTTCCATTTCTGGAAACATTTCCTCTTTAAGACCAGATGTCTTCTTTCTGAGGCAACCCCCGTCATCTTTACTTCTCAATGTTGGTCCTGATTGGCTTTTGAAGGTGTCTGTCTCTGTTTCTTCAGGTTGGTGTTCAAGTACCTGGGATTCTTTCTAGAACCCATCCCTCCCAGTTTTTGTTATGTATAACATATTTCACTTTTTGGCCTTTACGGTGATCTTTACACATGTTGATTCATAGAGGTTCATTCATAAGTGAGCACCTGCTCACCTACCTTCTCAGAAGTTAGTCTTGGTGCCATTTATATGTGACTCACTACCACCACCTTCTCGCAGTTCACCAGCTACCATTCTTTTCCCTAATCAACTCAGTTTCAGAGACACTATTAGGCACTGCTAGCTCTATATCTTGGACCCATCTGTATTGTTTTATTCTGATTATAGGGTATACAGACTGTGCATGCCTTTATTTCTATATTCAAAATTATTCTGTGGCTTTAGTCATTAGCTGCCGTAAGTGTTTATGGGTTCATTTTTCCTCAACTGGAAGGTTCCTAGTGAGCTGCCTGCAGACATGGCTTCTGTTGCAAATATTCAGTAGCAGCTAACTTGTGTCAAACCTGACAGGTTTTGTTTTTGTTTTGTTTGCTTGTTTTGTGTTTTTTTTTTTTTGTACTGGGGATTGAACTCGGTCCTTGTGCTTGCGCAGCAGGCGGCGAAACCACTGAGCTAAATCCCTGGCCCTTGTTTGCTTGTTTTAAGACAGGGTCTCACTATTTAAGCTCAGTGTGGCCTTGAACTCATTATGTAACACAGGCTGGCCTCAAACTCAATGTGATCCTCCTGCCTCGGCCTCCTGAGTGATGAGATTACAGGTATGCACCACTACACCTGGCCCCAACATGTACTTTTTAAACTGAAATTTTATTATTAAAAACCTTAGATGTATAGTATTCATATAGTAAAGGGAACAAATCATTGTAAATGCAATGAATTCTCACAAAATACACTTGTGTAACCTCCATTCAGCAAGAAATAGAACATTACTAGCATCCCCGAAGCTCCACATCCTGCAGCCCCAATGCAGTGATCCTCATCACTATCGACCCCACCCACCTTGCTGCAACACAATAATCAGGTCCTTTCTAAAATAATTTAATTTTTGATTATCAGCTACTAGTAGTTTACTCATCCTGACTCAACTTCAGCTTCAGTTTTAAAATATGCCCATATATTTTTGAAATAAAGTTTGTTATTCCTTGATATTCTATACATGAGAATGTACGTATGAGGCAATAAACTTGCTTTCCAGATTTTTTACAAGAATCCTAATATAGCCTTGGTTTCTATGTTTATTTCCTAACATTTTTCTATTTGACAGTTAAAAGATGTCAAGTTTATCTTTGTGCTCTGGCAGACTAATAGATCTACTACCTGAATGGAGCAGGATTATGAGTTAAAATGAATCTCACTGTATGAACATAAAGTGTGTAACAATGGAAGCACTAACTGAATAGTAGGCATCCTAGATCTTTGCTACTTCAAGCACTGTCTATATTTCAGCAGTCTCTGCCATAAGCAGGTAGCTTGTTAAAAAACGCAGTTTCTACTGAACCCAAATCAGCATTACAGCAGATGATTTGTACGTATATAGAGGTTTGAGGAAATATACAATCTGAGAATTTTTTTGTAAGTTCATAGCTCCACAATTTTTTATTCCTTTTTCCTCCAAATAAAGTGCTTTAAGGAAAAGACAAAGCTAGAGAAAGAGGGAAGAGTAAAGGGAAGTGTGGCCAATACCACAGTGTGTTCATAGCAGGCCAGGTGGACACGTTAGGGTATCCCTTGCTTTCGAGTAAGAAACACTTTCCCTTTTGTCTTTTTTCCCTTAGACCCTTCTGAAGAAACAATAATCTCTTTATAACTCAATGTGAGAAGTGACAATCTGATCATTTCTGTTGTTTGTTAGAAGAGGGTCAATACATCTAGTCCACACTTAAAGGGAGATTACACAAGAGCACGAATGCCAACAATAGGGTCTCTGGGGCCATTTCAGTTGTCTACTACAGTAAGGAATCAATGTTTATGATGCCAAAGTGTTATCCCACAGATACATGCTAATTATAAGGAGAACAAGTACCATTGTCATGTTAGTGACCAAATTGTCAAAGATAAACATAGCTGACTAGTAAAGAGGTAAAAAGTAACTACTGACAACAGCGGAAAGAGCTGAGCTCTACTGGAATTTTCGCAGAGGTAAACTGGGCATTTTAAAGGAAAATGAGGAAGAAGAGAGTGAAGTAATTCAGTAAAGTCAGTGAAGTGAAATCATACAAATGGTTGGTCAGAGTAACTGTGATGAGGTTAGCTCTGTCTGCTAGCTGGCCATGACCTAAGTTAGGATTCTATCTGCCCACAGACACTGAGAGACAGAGGAACTATCCTTTGTGATTACATTTCAAAGGAATGACTCAGGTCTTTGAGAGAGATACTTGAGTTAACAAGAGATATTTACAATTTTAAGCCTTTTTATTATTTTAGTCTTTGTAATTTTTATTTTTTATTAAAAAGTAATACTCAGTCTTAACTTTTGCATGATTAACAGTACCTGTACAGTGGTACCTTGCTTCATGAATGCTTCTGTTTGCACATGACTTGGTTTGCAAACAGAAGCATTTGGTAAAATTTTGTTTTTGTTTGTGAACTCTGTATCAGGTGACGAACACAACTATGGCCATCTTTCCTGCATGAACACAAATGTGGCCATCTTTTCCACAATTGTGGGATGAATTAAGTTCATGAACTGAGGTACTGCTATAATCTCTATCTTTAAATAAGGGATTTACAGATTGTGTCTAAATCTTCTATCATTAAAATTTACATTTTCCTGAAGTAATACATGAAAAATGTTTAATTTATAAGGAGTAGTGCATGCTTGTATCCCAGCACTCAGAAGGTTGAGGCAGGAGGATGTCAAGTTCACAATCAGCCTGGGTTTCAAATAATAAACAGTTTGGATTGTTTAATTAAAATAGAAAATAAATCCTCAAGTCAAGAGATGTGACTTTGATTCTTTAAAATATATATATTTATAGCTTCATTTATGAATATTCATAAAGATTTCAATGTCTTATCTGTTTCTTGATAGGCCCATTCCATTTATATAATAATAATAAATCAGCTGATTTATTTTGATGATTTAAGGTTTTCATCCAAAAGTTCAACAATGGCTTCTTCATCTGCTGATTGAAGCAGTCTCTGAATTAGCTGATCCAGGCACTTCTCGCCACATAAAAATTCCTGGTAAAAGAGAGGATTGTTATGAGACACTATGCTATAGTTTTGAGCTAGAATGTCCCCCAAAGGTCTGTGTGTTAAATGCTTAGTCCTTAGCTTGGCACTATTGAAAGGTGATAGTAACCTTTAAGAAATGGGGCCTAGTTGGCAGTCTTGGGTCATTGGGGGTGGGCCTGATTGAAGGGGATTGTAGGATACTGGTTTCTCTCTTTTTTTGCATCCAGCCTGTGAAGTGAATGGCCTTGTTTGCCACACACTTGCACCACAGTGTGCTCTGCCACCACAGGCCCAAAGCAACAGAGCCAATCAGCATTTCCCAACCTTCCTTGCTAAACCTCTAAAACCTTCCTTGCTAAACCTCTAAAACTGAGCCAAAATACACCTTCCCCCTTTTAAGTAACATCTCAGTTATGTTATAGAAAGCTGACTAAAACACCTGATTATTAGAAATAAAGAAGAAAAGCACAAAGAATTAAGTGCGTATTTAATTTCTTTGTAGTCATTTTTTAACAGCAACAAAAGATTAGTTAATGTTCTACAATATAAGAACACAACTGGTAACATAGGAGATCCCTTAGATGCTTACTTTCTTCCTATTCACCTCTTCTCTGTCCAAAAGTTATTACCCTGTTGCTATGGCCCTTATTACTTTTCTAACTTCATCTACAATAATCTAGTTCCTAAATTATTCACTCCTACAAACCTCTTTACTGTTCTTTACATAGATTTTTCTTTCAGTATTGGAGATTGAACCCAGAACTGTGTACATATTAGACAAGTGCTCTGCCACTAAGGTACATACCCAGCCCTTTTAACATTTTGAGACAGAGTCTCACTAGGTTGTTCAGGCTGGTCTTGAACTTGTGATCCTCCTTCCTCAGCCTCCTGAGTAGCTAGAATTAGACATGTGCCATCATATCCACCTAGATTTTTTAAAATTTTACTTGTAATTGACAAATAATAATTGTACATATTTATGGGGTACACTGTGATGTTCTGCTATATGTCTATAATATGAAATCAAATCAGGCTAATCAACAAACCTATAAGTTTACATATTTATCATTGTTTTTGTGGTGAAAACATTTAAAATCTACACTTACAGTAATTTAAAAATATACTATGTATTATTTACTATAGTAACTATTCAATGCAATAAATCACTGGATATATTCCTAACTGAAACGTACTTTTTGATCAGCATCTCCCTTCCTCATCCACCTACTT